GCGCTCGAAGAACTTATTACGGACTTGTCCAACGAATCACAAGAGAAAATGTTTCTCGAGGATGATCCTGCACGAATTTGTGGTCGGGGGTCGTCGCTTGGAAAGCCACGTGGCTGGTCCGTCGTCTCTATGACAATTACCAACAGTTTCCTCTTAGGCTATCTGTTCCCGACGTTTATAGTGCAAATTCGTTACATTGAGTTTGCCCCCTCCCATTCAACGCCTTTGTACTCTTAATCCCTGTCGGGGAATCCTACACAAAACAGTCATGTGTCGTCACATTATCTGCCAAAATGACCCCCTCCTACCAAGACCGTTCGTTTAGGCGGAGACTACTGTAAATGTTTTGTATTTTTGGTAGTTCTTGCGAGTATGGAATTAAAATGTTGATTCTTTTCTGGTAGTAGTCAAGACAGGCGTGTTGTGTTTACAACTCTCCGGGCGCGTTGAATTGTTTTCTTCTGAGGGTTGTTTTTCTGCCATGTTTATGTTTCGAAATGAAAAAGAAAACCAAACAGATAGATTCTGTCTGTGTAGAGGAGGACAGATCTTTCAGTTGGCCACACTATATATACGGTTGAAATGTCCAAGATGGCCACCCATTGTAGTGGGTGGTTGGCAGGTACTTTGGTGTGGTTTGCTCCTTCTTTCCTATCAAACATCTATCGTCCTTATCTCTCCTCGCATAATTTTTTGTTTGTTATTCTCTTGTAACACCTCTAATCTTCGGCACTTACATGACCTTATTGTGTTGCAAGTGCTGTAAATCTCTTACTAAATCAAACGAAATGTAGAGGAGGAATGTTGGCCATATTAGACTGATGGCTGTCTTTCACAGTGTCTTTCTAATGTTGAAAAATATACGAGGAGGGAAATGGGGAATGGGCATTTGTACAGGTGATTGTTTTATACATGTTGCCATTAGAGCAGGCTCAATTGTATATCTATGTGACCACACTCTTCTTCCCTCTTATAGGCGCGGATTTGAGTTTGTGAAGACATGGCTAGACAAACCAGGCCGGCCTGTGTTCACCCCTGACCTCTCGGACAAGGATCGCCTGACTGCTGAAGCAGATGAAGTAGCAGAGATTATGTCTGATGGACGAAGAAAGGTGTAGTAACGACAAAAGGCTTTCTGCCTTTTGTACTTTTGACTTCTGTTAATGTTTATCAGAATCCTTCTGTTTTCTTGAGAGTATAATCGACAGGAACTGAGATTAAGTCCTACACAGGCTGTTTTCATGTCGTCAAATAGGATTTTGAGGACCAGGAATATCTTCACTTGCTGTGATGAAAGCTGAGGATTTTCAACTCAAATGTGTGAAGTATGGATGTGAAACATGGAGTGCATCTCAGACTTGCAGAAGAAGGGAGGGGGGTTGTAAAAATTACTTTTTCCAAATGGTTTTATTGTCTGTCCAACCTGTTAGTGCTTGACTATGAACCCTTAACAGCTGGTAACCGCGGACGCCGTATTTTCCTATACCGCTGGTCGACTTTATCGTTTAATTCCTGGTGCTAAAAACAGGGGATGTAACTCCAGATGACTCTATCACGAGCAGAAAGTACCGATAATGTCATGAGAGCAGTTCTACACCAAAAGTTTAGAAATTTTGCGAGTTTTTAAGAAAAATTAGTCACTTTTCGCTGCCAGGCCTTTGAGGCCGCAAAATTTTTGACATTTTTG